CGACGTGCCGGGAGAGGGTGCTCAAACCGATGTCCCTACAGTGCCTATGACACTTACGGGACGCGAGTATTTTTTTCGCAAACAGCTAAATTGTTTGCATATTTGGATTTCATCCAATGATAAATCGTTTCAGAAGATATTTATAACCGCGACTAATAACCTCAGTAGTTCACGCGTCCGGAATCACTAGCAACCAACCAACCAACCAACCAACCGAAGGGACGTATCTGTATGAAACACATTTTTTGAACTAAAGTCACATGATTCGCTCCCTCTCTGTGCTGTCGACGTAATTTCTTTTTCTTAAATATTTCATTAAAACTCGTTTCCCGTAACAAACATTTCGTGCTCCAACGATTACAAAAATAACAATAAATAAACAACAAAACCCATTACATTTTTATGTGAAAAAACTATGCATGTCCATAACAGCAGCGTATTATACTAACGCTACAAATATTTCCAATATTTGTTTTACGTTTTCTGTTTTCGAGGTCATACGTAACATCCGATATTTTTTTCTCCCACAGCAACAGACGATGTTATAACTCAAATTATAACCCTCACTTGTGATCTACGGCATCATATTTTGATCAAAAGGCCAATATCAATGCTTTTCCGCTTCCTACACAAAAATCTATTAATAACAAACAAGAATCATTGGTGAGGATTCAAACGCCTCCCCATGGTGTTGCGAGGATTAAATGTAGTCTAAACTGAATGTCACTATTTCGGGTGAAGGATGCTTTGTAGGGGATTGTAATGGTGCATTCGATTTCAAACAAATTAAAGAAGTGGTAGTTGAGATATGTCTGTAATAATATTCACTACATACATGAAATTCAATTACCAAATCATTTATTATTCACATTATTTTTTATTGATCTATGAGGTAAATAAATCAATAAATATATTTTATTTTTTCTTAAATTTCAATCGACTTATGGTGTTCGACATAACATATCTATCGACATAATATAGAATATGCTGTTGACTGCTAAATAATTCCAAGTAGATTTAAAAGAAATAGATATCAGATCTTTAAAAAACGTAATTACAACTCACATTTCAAACCACCAGTTTATGCACGCAGAAAGAAGTTCTGTAGGAGTTTTCTTTTTCGCATATCGAACTCTACAGTTGCGCTATTTAACAAGTTAAATTAACACAAACATTTCCCGTTTATTTGTCGTATCAAAGTTCTCGCCAAGAAACCAGTTGGATGCAGGATATTAACGTGATTATTACGTTTATTTTTTAAGTGTACTTGAGTATTTCGTATATTGCCAGTCCCACATAAGTTTGAAAAGGGTTTATTTACGATGTTCAATAAAAAACTATTACAATGTATTTAAATGTTGCAAACTTAAAAATCCGTTCGACGATTGCTTTCGATACGTTCGTATTTGTAATATCATAATTCAGAAATTATATCCTCCTACGATTTAGAATAATAGATATTGTCTAGAAGGAAACGTATGTATACTAATAAGACGTGTACCATTTATTTTAGTTTCTCTTTTGACTGTGCGTGCATTGCGATTCTTTCTGAAAATCATTGTGTATTATAGTTATAAAATTAGTCTGAAAAACACGCGACACCCAAGGAATTGGAAGTTTTAATTTTTATAAAACTTATTTACATATTTCCTTTTCTCATGGAACATATAATCTCTTTCAAATCCTTTGGTGAAATTATGCGGTAAATGTTTGTAATAAACCATATTCGAGACATTTTTCGTTGTTCAGTATCACCAACCACATACCGAAAATGATAATGTATCGAAATTATCGTGACATTTATTGACAGTAATTGTTTCAAATAAAGTAAAATAAAGGTGTTTGAATAATACCAACGTCATTAAGATAATACCAATGGGAAAAATGTTGTAAAAAATTGTATGTTGCAATAAGCTAATTTCGGTTTTTTGGGAGATTTCGAAAATGTAGGGGTATCTCTTAAAGATGTCTACGTTGTCACGTTCTTAAGCTGACGTAATAGAGAAAAAAAAACAAAAAAAATAAATTAACCATGCTAAGGTATATTGTTTGCTCTATAACGCTTACAATTCATCTAAAATAAATTCTCCATAAATGTTTCAGTTTCAATCATAAATTGCATATTTTCCATCGTCTTTGAGAATGTCCACAAAAAGTCGAAAAATTAATGGCAAATGCACTGCATCGCATATATTTATTGCTTATTTTTAAGAGATAAATCTACATCTTTTTACTGAACGATCGTTTACATAACATGTCTCCTTCAGAGTGCTCAAAGCAGCAGTTTGATTTGGTAACTTTTATTCTATATACGCACTGTTACAGTATGAGCACAATAATATCTCTTGTGTTTTTTGCTCTTTTCATCTTTAAATTTCCCAAATCTTCTCAGTCAGTCTAGATCACAAATTACTGTCTTCGTCAGCTGTTGAACATTGTTTGGTACCTCTGCGATACCTATAAATACACAGAATTTCTGTATAGAATTTTAACTTCTCAAGACATACTTTAGTCAAAATTCTCCATTTTTTGCGTCTTCTTTGTCAATTGCTCTTCAAAAGTTCCTGTTTCAGTGTGAAAGGGGAAGCATAGAAAAGAATAATCATATGAGACTCCAGCAATCAATCTCGTTTCCTAATATCTTGAAGATATGCATCTTCAGTTCACTAATCACTAAGATCACAAGTAAAGCTATAATCTCAATTAAATGCTTCCAAGGTCCAATCAGGCCTTGACCTATGAACCACCTTATTAAACGTCATCACGAAAGCCTTGCAAACACGCTGCGCACTAGAGTCAACTTCTAGTAGTCGACCATATTAACATCTACCTCACCAAACTCCCTTTGAAGTTGATATTTTCTATATCATACACAGGAACTAATTATTAAAATTAAAATGTACAATTAAACTGCGCATCATATTCAACCACCGCTTCTAATCTCGTCAATGTCGAGTTGTTTTGAGGCTGCCAGGAAAATTGTATGTACAGAATGCAGATGCTCCTCAACTTCATCACCTGCAGTGATTTAATTTCTTTCTGAGTATTCCTCCATTCCCAGCCCAAAATTAACAAATAATTATAACTATAACTAGTCAAATGCACGTACTGGTACCATTGTCATTTAAGGTCATTCTTCACACAAGCATCCTTCTTTCACCACACTCTTTTAAATAACTGGAAACATTTCTTCAGAGTATTTGGCAGTCCGTGAAGCATCCTTTCCAACCCAGATACAAAAAGAGTTTGATATAAATCACATATATTAATATTCATTCATCGCTGCCTTCCATTTTACACGGTTTGTACGAAATTTGTACGCTCTGTTTCTCTAAACAAATAAAAGGTCTTGGGTTTTCCGCACTTCAATTGCTCTACATTCATCATAAGCCGAATGCAAACTGATGATTTCGATGATCCTTCGTCTTTCATCGTCAGTTCAGCATCATAATTTGTCGACCAGGGTTTATACATGCTGATTCACTAAAACGTCCTTCATTCGGCTATCCAGCTGGTACACAAAAACTTTGATGAAAAGGGTTTCGTATAAAATGTAAATATTGATGATCCTTTACCTCAACCTTTCAGTTTTCACGGCTCGGATATTTTTTGGAAAAGGATTTTTACTTGTTGTTTCTCAAAGCGAATTCAAGTTGTCCTAAGTCATTTGGCTGTCTGTGGAGTATCCAACCAAATTATCATAAAAATCATGTTTCACCTTCAAATGTCCATTTTATAAGACTTCACCGCTGCCTTTCGCCTTCAAGAGTTTTTATTAGGATTTCTGCTTTCCTCTGAATCCTGAAAGGTCTATTGTGTATTGAAATTCTCTGAGCTGCCTGCGCAGCGTCCATCCCAAAGCCAATAATGCAAACTTTTTCACACAAAAACGCATATCTCGATCATGCTCACACCACCACATTCCTCTTTGAACCGAAAGGACTTTTTTCTTCACAACCACATAAAAGATCTTGGGTACTTCAAAGTCCGCGGTATCTAACACAACCAGAAAAAAATTTCTTCATAAACGCAAAGGACGTATTTCTGAATAACATTGTTTCTCTGCATTCACGTTTTCAAGATAAAGAGTTCTGTTCTGTTATTCAAACACATAAAATATTATGGAATTTTCAGAGTCGCTGAGATAGATCGGAAGCTTACTTCCCAAGGGTAATAGAACAGTTCCACACAAAAACGCACATACTGATATAACTTCACCGCAGCCTTCTATCTTCAACAGTTTTATGGTAGTGTTGTACTGTATTTCCCAAACATATAAACGATCCCTGAATGTCCAAGTAATTAATAAATAAAATATGAAAAGCGCACTTCACCAACGCCTTATACCTTCAATGGTTTATGTGAGGCGTTCTTCTTATTTGATTTCGAACATAGAAAAGGTCCTTGATGTCCGTCATTAGTCACTTAAACACTTTTATATACTAGAAACGCACTTCACCAACGCTTTATACCTTCAACGGTTTAACGGGGCATTCTGCGCCGGTGCCGAAGGACTTAGGACGTCCAAAGCCATTACTTAATAAAAGCTTTTTTTACTTTTTTTAGACGAGAAGCGCACTTCACCACCGCCTTGTTCGGTTTGAACGAGGTGTTCTGCTTGCTGACGTTCCTTGTAAGACCCGAGCCATTAGTTAATAAAAACGTTTTTAGGCGACAAGCTCACTTCACCACCGTCTCCATCGGTTTAACGAGGCATTCTTTGTGCTGAAGTACTTTGCACGTTCAAAGTCATTAGTTAATGAAAACGTTTTAGGCGAGAAGCGCACTTCACCACCACCTCCAACGGTTTAACGAGGCGTTCTGCTGGCCGGAAGCGCACTTCACAACCGCTTCGTTCGGTTTGAACGAGGTGTTCTGCCGGCTGAAGTTCCTGGTAAGTCCAAAGCGAACAAAGCCCTTTCGCGCACCGGAAGCGCCCTTCACCACCGCCTGCCCCGCAGGGCGCGCCCGAGGGCTTCGTCGTCGTCGTCGTCGCCGCGTCACAAGCCGCCTCGCTCGTCGTCGAAGTCGCCGTCCAGCTCCGGCTCCAGCTTCACGGCGGCGCCGCCGTCCTCGGCGTCGCCCTCGCCGCCGTCCTCGTCGTCCTCGTCCAGGGGGCCGCGAGAGGGCGAGCCCAAGGGCGAGGGCGAGGGCGCGGAGTAGGTGACGACGAGCGGGGGGCTGCCGCAGCCCCCCCGCAGGCGGTGCCCGCCCGCCGCCCGCTCCTGCAACCGCGGCCACCGCTACACACCACGCAGGGGGTGCGAGAAGAGGAACAGGGCGTGAAGGGAGTGCGAGGATAAGAGGGGACAGATAGTGCTATAATGAATGATAATGTGGAAAGTATGGCGTGAGAGAAAAGAAAGAAAGAGTGAAGTGAAGGAGCAAGTGAAGTGCGTGGGTAGTGAAGTGAGTGGTTGAGTAAAGCAAAAGGGTGAGAGAAATAAGAAAGCAATTGAAGTGAGGGGGGAGTAAAGGGCGGGGGAAGTGAAGTGAGGGGGGAGTAAAGTGAGGGGGGAGTAAGGGGCGGGGAAGTGAAGTGAGAGGGGAATAAAGTGAGAGGTCGAGTAAAGTAAAAGGGAGAAAAAGTAAAAGTGTGAGTACAGTGAAAGTGTGAGTAAAGTAAACGGGCGGGTAAAGTGAAAGAGCGAGCAACGTGAAAGGGATAATAAGAGAAAAGATGAGTGAAGTGACTGAACGACCAAAATGACAAGGCGGGCATAGTCAAAGTGCGAGTTAAGTGAATGGCGAGTAAAGTGAAAGGAGGAGGAAAGTGAAAGAGCGAGTGAAAGTGCAAAGGTGAGTAAAGAGAAAGGGCGAGTAAAGTGGAAGAATGATTAAAGTACACGGGCAAATGAAGTGCAATGAAGTGAAGTGCAGTTAAGTGCAGTGAAGGTAAGTGCAGTGAAGGTAGGTGCAGTGACGTTAAGTGCAGTGACGTTACGTGCAGTGACGTTAAGTGCAGTGACGTTAAGTGCAGTGAAGTTAAGTGAAGTTAAGTGAAGTGAAGCGCAGTGAAGTGCAGTGCAGTGAAGTGAAGTGCAGTGCAGTGAAGTGAAGTGCAGTGCAGTGAAGTGCAGTGCAGTGAAGTGAAGTGCAGTGCAGTGAAGTGCAGTGGAATGCAGTGAATTGAAATGCGGTACAGTGAAATGCATGTGAAATTGAAGTGCGTGTGCAAGTGAAGTGCAGTGCAGAGAAGTGAAGTGCGCGCTGACCTGCGCAAGGAGCTGTGGCGGCGCGTCGTGCTTGCCCATGTCGGCCTCGAAGAGCACGTTGCTCACCAGGTGCTCCACCACCGCGCGCGTGCGTCGCGAGTAGCCGCGCAGCTTCTCCGCCACGTACTGCCCGAACACGGCCGCCTCGTCGCTCGCCCCCGGCCCCGGCCCGGGCCCCAGCGCCGCCACCCTGCAACGGCACGCATGACATTGCTCAGCCAACCAACCAGCGCACCCATCCCTGCCCCGGCACGCCCCCGGCGCCCGGCCGCGCCCGGCCTACTCCGGCCGCCTCCGGTCGCGTCCCCGGCGCTACCTGGCCGCCCCCGGCCGCCACGGTCCGCACCCCGCCGCCACTGTGTTCCCGGTCCTGCACCACGCGACCTGCAGACCCCACAATGGCAGGTCGCTTCATAACAGCAGCACGGCGTGTTGCAGCGCCTCGGAATAAGGTTAAGAGGTTGGAGTAAAAGGCCTACTTTGGAATATCCTTGGTTCATCTTCGAATGGGTTCTCTTAGCCCGTTCTTCGCCATCACACGTACCTGAAATAATCGTCCTTGAATTTTCTTTCGTCAGTTAGTGCCTGGCCACTACGTAAACGAAACAAGAAACAAAGACAAAACAAGCCTTCAAGGACGACGTGTTTTTTTTTTCGACTGTTGGGGTTTTGCAGCGCCTTTAGTATCGCAAAGTTCCAGATGATTTCACCCGTCCAGGATTACGTGGTAGCCTCGAGTCGCTTAGCTTAGTCGTAGTCAAGCAATTCGGTTAACGCGCGGCACGTATGTGTAATCGGCAGCTCTGACTTAGCACTGCACGTATTTTCACGGGGGGCATAGGGATCCAGTTACGACGGTGAGTATATTCACCTAGCTACCGTAGATAGCTAGGGATTCAGTGCTTTCTGGAGGAAAATTCTGGTGGATCGGTCATTTCAACGGTAATTTTTCGCATGTTTCGCCTCCCAACAATGACAAGTTGAATGCTTGAAGAGTAACAGTTTACAAGAGGTTCACGAAGTTTTTCCTTCGCACTTCACTAGGCACAACCCATATGCGTTATACTTTGCCGCAGCATGTGGGCGAACGCAACCAGAGCTTGAGCTTAGCGCATGCAGGGGCCGTGGGCGGCGCAAGCGCGAAGCATTATGTGAGGACGAAAGGCAGCGACCGGACGTCCAGGGCCGGTGGCATTCTGCGCCTGCGTGGGCGTGGACGGGGAGGGGAGAGTGGGGGGGCGGCGGAGAGGGGTCGGGGAGGAGAGGCGTGGGGGGAGGCCGGTGGGGGGAGGAAGAGGGCAAGGGGGAGGGCTGGGAAGAGTGCGGGGAGGGAGGGAAGGG